GCTTTTATTTTGCGAACTTTGATAAACCATACTTTGATATTCTTGGAAGCGGATGCAAGTACTCTGTGACGATGATCTTGAGTTTGACCCAACACCTAGTAGGTACCATAAGAAAAGGTTGAATACTTGCACCTGTCAGAACTTACTACTTCAATCAACAAGCAAGTCAATAGGTGTGGATCTTACAAACAAACATCATAGGTAAAAATAAAATTCTAGATCTATCCCAGTCAAAATGTAGTTGGTGCCCTTCTAACAGTCTGCTTAGACTAAAAAACACACAAATACTGGTAAGCAATGTGAGAAAACAAACAAATTTGTGCATAGTTTCAATAGCAGACAGATAAAAGTGGTCACAACATTCTGTTCACAGGTTCTGTTAAGTTATTAAAAAGACACATTTATTGGCAATTACATATTATCATATTTCCTTTGACACAAGCGCATTAAATAAATCAGGACATTAAGAGCATCCAATACTAACCGTTTGAAGATCTTCAATTCGAGTCATCACTCCCATGGCCATCTCACGACGTTCTGCTTGAGTTTCAGGACAAGGATACAAAGTGGCACGGAATCTGGCGATTAAACATTTGTCTGCTTTATTCACCAACTATTACATACTTTTACTTTGTTATATATTATTAGTAAAGTAACAAAATTACTGGCTCAAAAACTCCTAAAGACATGTGCTAATAGTAGTGACTTTTTTGCTTACCCTTCACAGATTTTCTTCACTCTTGATTTAAGTTGTTCTCCTTGGAAGAATATGATGAACACAGATTTGTTGACTTGATCACCCTGCAAAAAATATTGTAACCAATTTCAGTTAAAGACAGTTTGAAACAAATTCATATGCATTGTGGGAGACAACTTCAATAATAGAAAAATTATGACACTGGAAACTCCAAAACTTACATCTGAAAATTTAGAAATAAGCAATACATGTATTAAGATTCATATATGTTCAAAGTTTATGTTCTATGTAGTAAATACAGCCACTCTAGAGCATTAAATCATGTCTTTTATATTTTTTTTCTCTTAGTTTGTTTGTTTGTTTTGAATATATTGTTTATTTTTTTCTTAATATGGGATTTACAAACTTTGCTACCGGTACTTTATATCCTACAATAAAGATTTAATAATAATAATAATTTGATTTTTTCATTCCATTCATTTCAGATGCAAACAATTTTTTGTTATATTTTGTGCATCAACAGCATAAACCCATAATCATGGAAGCATAAAAAAAAAGCCATGTAATCGTCAATTTGGACATACAATGTACATGTACCTTCTTAACATAACATCTATAATAGGTAGTCCTTTACAAAATTACACTGTGCTCAGCTTGATAATAATATATAGCAATAGATAAACAAGTAGTTTCAATTGAAACTGATGAAAACAGTAATGTAATATGTGTGATTATATGATCAGAATTGAATGTTTTCTGTGAGTCTGAGCCATATATTTTCATCTTTTTATGCAAGTTTCTCAGTGAATTTGATAATGTCAAAAACATTCCATTGAAATTTATATATTTCGTACTCAGAAATCCCAATTTTTTCTGTTAAAAATTACAAAGAGTATGACAAATTTCTTACCGTGCTTGGATCTTCCAAGGGTGTCTCGATCTCAGTTTGCCGTAGGAATACATTACCACGACAGGCACGCCACAACATTCTTTCAAAGCTTGGCAATCGTTCTCTATTAATCACTCCAGCAACAAATCTATTAACAATACAGTACTACAATTGATCATCTATGCTTGCAAAAAATAACACTTAGAAATACAACATTTATAATCAATATAGGTGTAATGAATAATTGTGACATTAGTCCAAGGTTTGATCTTAGAAAACTAAATTCACCCAAGTTACCAAACTCTACCACCAAACAATCGAGAAACATCTTGCTTGTTGACAGGTTTTTCAGACCAATCAAACTCTGCTTTCTATAAATGGTTTGACTCAACTTAACTCATGAAATAAACATGCCTAACGTCTTCATATTCTCAAAAATTGGAATCAAGAACTGTAGCCAATCAGCAATTATTACCAAAGAAGTAAAAGATAATAAATAAAATGTGCAAAATGATGCATAAACATTTTGGTGTGAAATATTATTTATGGCATATTCAAAGGGTTGATTAAAGAAGAGTATCTGAGAAGCTTTTCTCTAATTACTAAAAACAAAATGATGGTACAATGTTGCATGGAGTGGAACTCCATGCTCTGCTGCATGTGACATTAAAATGCTTTTTGTGTTTTACGAGAAAGAATGGACTGTCAAGTTTTAAATTCATACTCACCCAAGTCTCATGGCATGTCCAGCTCTCATGCCTTCTTCACTTAGCAAGGAATGTGCTTCTTCTGCAAGGCTTGGATCATGCATCTGCTGATGATGCAATTCAGCCTGGATTACCACCAGGAAAACAATATTACACTATGATAACTACTAGGGCCCACCATGCGGGAATAACAACATGTACAACAAAGTGAAAAAGGTCCAACTGTCTCTTTATAATATTGTGAAGGTAACAAAACAGAAAGTCAGTATAAATATATATTGATAGACTCAGCTAATTTGATAATGGTTTCAGTATTCTTGATTCATTACAGAAAATATATCTCTATATTAAAAGGTCTGAAATGCAGACATTTTGAAAGCAAAAAACCACTATTGAGTAAAATATGCGACCGTCAAAAGCATGTTTAATTCAAACTCTATTTTAACGCTATTTTTATTTTTAAACTTGCTATTTATTGCTATGATACTTGGCTATAGAGTGAATGTTATACTAGGCTATAGAGTGAATGTTATACTAGGCTATAGAGTGAATGTTATACTAGGCTATAGAGTGAATGTTATGCTAGGCTATAGAGTGAATGTTATACTAGGCTATAGAGTGAATGTTATGCTA